AGATTAACTAGAAAGTCCTATTAAAGATAGTATCAAACTCAAAAGCTTTCACTTCCAAAGCATACCATCATAATAAGACTAATACATATGAAAAGTAGTAATTTCTAAACACTACTATATCTTCTTAGTGTAGTGGGGTTTGTTGTTTTTTGAGGTAGAGTCTCACTATGCACTTCAGGCTGGCCTTGAACTCATTTTGTAGCCCAGGCTGGTCTTGAATTCAATGATCCTCCTGCCTCAGCTTCTTGAGTGTTGGGATTATAGGTGTGTGCCATCAGGCCCCTACATATCTTATAGCATCTATAGTAAGTTGACACTTCCAAGTTGTTAATTATGATAAATCATAATAAATAGATACAGGTGTCAGTATTCTATTATTCAACACATTCACAAGAGGCCAGAATGTATTTGACTATAAACTACTTCTACCACTAATGGTACAAACCATCTGATGGGACAGTCATGCATATAGCACCAGTATGAATGTGCTAAATATTTGTAAAAATAAGAAAGAAAAAAATCTTGTTTATTGATATCACTATGTTATCTGAACATTTGTAATTTTTATACTCACATGATAATCTTTCTTTTAACTGTGGTGTGGGAGCCAGATCTATAGCACTTTTATTATGACAATTCAGCAGTGTTGGATCTGCGCCATAACTTAGGAGAAGAGAACACACTTCAACTCTGTTCTTAGAAGCTGCCTCATGAAGAGGAGTGAATTGCCACAAGTCCATTGCGTTTACACAGGCACCATGCTGAAGAAAAAGCATATATTCAATGTTCAATTTTTAAGAGTTTAGTACTGTATGACAAACACCATGCAACTTTAAAAAGATTAGGTTCCCAAGGTTTACTTGAGCCGATTATTTCCGAAAAAGAGTAATTTTTTCCTAATGGAAAATCAGCAGCTGTTAGGTCTATCCAAAAAGGTGTATTTAACTCTTATTGTAACAAACAATAGGGCTGGGAGATAGCACCTGCCCGGTAAGGAACAATTAAGAACAAAGCTTTATATTTAACTTGGATTGTTTCCAAGAATTTTTTCTTTTCCTCCATAATTTTATTGAGAATACTTTTTTTTTCTTTTTTTGGCGGAACCAGGGACTGAACTCAGGCCCCTGCGCTTGCCAGGGAAGTGCTTATTCTACTGAGCCACCTCCCTGGACCTGTTTCCAAGAATTTCATTCATTCATTCATTCATTCATTCATTCATTCATTCATTCTCATAGTGGTACTATCAAATCCAGAGCTTTGAGCATGTCAGGCAAACATCCTACCACTGAGCTACATCCCCCAAACCCACTTTTCCTTTTTTAGAGATACATGCCTGTTATACCATCACATTCCAGGCTTTTACTGTGGCCTTTTTTTTTCTTTTATGAGAAATAGTTTTATTTTAAAACCAGAAGCTACATAAGAGAGGGCTAACTTACAGTCTTTTAATCGAATAAGTAAAACCATGTTAAATGTTGTACTGTGTGAATTTTTTTCATTAATAAGTTGGACCTAAAATGTGGGGATTATTTTCTTTAAAAAAATATTTCACTTTGCAAGACCTCGTTGCATGTTCAGTTTATTTTTCTTTCAAATTTCTATGCCAAAATTACTGTGGTTTTTTTTA